CACACACACACACACACTTCTCCCCTTGACACTACACACAGCATCCTAGCCTTAAGCCGCGGCCGTTCTGAGCCACGTCTGTGAATGCTGCCTGTCAGCTTCACGTCAGGGTCTCTGCTTTATTTGAGTGCTTTGGTAGGTTATTGGTTGGATCAGGGAAGCTCACAGGTTTTCCCCATATAAGTTAATGGACATTATGTCTGTTTAGCAGGTTTGGACATCCGGGCACGTTTCATAGGAGCACTCCGTGTTTGGACTGTGAGGATTACCTGTGTAACGGTTTCCGCTTTTTCCGTACCTTCAATCTCTTATAAATGCCCCTAGAATTTGAATATTTTTCTCTCCTCCTCCATATTATGTACAGTCTTGGATGCCTAATAAGTACTTGATATGACTAAGTGACCTTCCGTTAGGAATCTTTGTAAATATGTCCCTTTTTTTTTAAGGACAGTGTCATTCAGCCTTCTGATGAAGACACTTTTTTATGTGTGTGAATGTTAAAAGAATTAGACATACGTTACATTGTAGCAGTTACCCAAAAGAATGGCCATATTTTTTTATAATAGCCTCAGAAAGTTCGTGGACAATTTGAATTAAAAGATAATTGAGCCTTTCCATAAATCTCTTGAAGCCCCTTTGCATTTTCTTTTGAAAACTCAAGTTTATGTTTTATTCAGATAATTGGACAAATCTTTGGTTATTTGTAAGTTAAGCTCTTCTTACAAGGGTTATAAATAGTGCCAATAGCATATTTATTTTCTCATTTATAGTCTGTTAGGATCCCAGAGAATGTATGACTGTGTGATTCAGTGGGATTTACAGGTTGCCAGTAAAAATGATATCACCAGGTACTCTCCATTTTCTATGAGAGTTGGTGATTTTTTATAGTTAAGGAGTTTAAGGCATTAGAATGCTTTCTACAGCATAATTAATGGGGCAGATACCACATCCATAGACACATCTTTCTATTTTTTCTTTTTGATTTTGTATAACTCCCTGGAGAGAGCTGTTTCTCAGTTTTCCTTGGGTCTAGAAGGCTTAGTACACAGCTCAGAGACTGGAATTTATTTCCTACAAAATGCCTTATAAAAGTTATCATACCTAAAGACATTTCAATCTAGGACATTCTCTGGGGGTTAAGAACTAAACACATTGCTTTCCACATGTATTGTAATTGATCACTTTTAGCTTTATTAAAAGTCTGGGGTCCCCTAAAACGTAGCATTGTTTCAGAAAGTAGTCTCCCTAGCGTATTTTCTATTACATTGAAACAGCCTCTGCTCTCTCCATTATGTCGTCTAAGAATAATTAAGTTGATTAATAAAACATTACACAAAGGACCCCATTATCCCTTTATTCTCACTTAGTCTATGCAGAATGCAAATACCGTTCTAAATGGAGCTTGAGGACTGGTTCTCTCCCTTTTAATTAGATGCATATCATTGGAATTTTTCTGAATTTTTAAGGTGGGGGAGGGTAGCAGGAAGAGGGACTAGAAAGAATTATATTCAACCGAATAAAATACCCATATCTTCCCCTCTGGCCTTCTCTTTTCATTGTAGCCTTGGGTAACCCCTGTAAGAAATTCACCTTTTAGAACAGTGCTTCTCAACCTTCCTAATGCCGCGACCTTTGACTACAGTTCCTCATGTTGTGGTGACCACCACCACCATAAAATTATTTTCGTTGCTACCTCATAACTGTAATTGTGTTACTGTTATGAATCGGGCGACCCCTGTGAAAGGGTCGTTCGACCCCCCAAAGGGGTCGCAACCCACAGGTGAGAACCGCGGTTTTAGAATGATGGCATTTTTGAATTATCCTCACTTGCGTCCTGTGCCCCTTGTGTGTCGGTTATGGGACTGTTCATGGTCTGCTGCCTCGGCCCTCCTTTGTACATCGTGGTGAGGCTCACTGATCAAAAGGTTCTTTGGCTAATACCATGGAATAATTGGGCGTTTTTCATTTAAAACATCTTTTAATTTTAATTGATTAAAATCACACTTTTCTCAAGATCTGCAGAAAAACCTAGGGTTCGGATAATATGGCATGAGTGGCATGCACCCATGTTTTCTGCGAGTTTCTGGACAGTTGGTGAGTTTCTCAAAAAGCAAATGAGCACAAACATTCTCCCCTGAAAGTCATCACCTCGGGAAATTCGGAGTGAGCCCTGCTCACCTATACTGTGTGCTGTGGAGATCCCTGGTCCCTCTGGCTTGAAAAGCTTCTCCCTAAGGAGCAAAATGGAAATGGAGACCCCGGAAAACATACACACGTACACATTCCATCATAGATTTCCTGAATCAGCTTGATTAGCTACTGTCTGAGTGGAGACTCCCAGGGAGAGCTACTGAAATGAAACTTTCTTTCCAAAATGAGAGGACACATGTTCTTTGACCGTATAGACTCGTGTGTAAGCTGAGTTTTTCAGCACCGTTTTAATGCCGTGTTTGTGGTGAAACTAGGTGCCTCGGCTGATAGTCGGGTCGGCTTATACTCGAGTAGATACGGTAAGTACTACAATGTTTGGCACTTCTCTGTATTTAACACAGCTCTCCAGCCTAAAAAACAAGAACGAAGCCCAAATGTAGTGCCGTGCACAAGATGTAAGTCAGTGGGAAATCCTCACAGACATGGGCTGCCCCTGCTTTTTTGTGGCCAGCCCCACGAAGCCTTAATGTCGGCCTGGTGATTTGGATTTGCCATCAGATCTCAAAATACCATGGCCATGAACACGAGACTGACTGCTAATGGGCTAGCCATTAGCAAGACACAGTTCTTCCTCGGTGGCCGGATAGAAAGGCTCTCGGGGTGAGGGGTCTGGCTCAAGCTGGCTCTGCCTCAGCGTGACTTGAAGCTTAACAGAATGGAGCAACGGCCTGGCCTGTGCCATCTTCCCTGTCGTCCCTGTGGGGGCCACGCCTCGGTCCGTCTTGTCCAGGGTTCCTCCAACCATCTGCTGTAGCACGTTGAACGGCCCTCCCCAGACAACGTGGCCGGAGGAGGTGAGGCGAGATCTTGCCGTCCTTGCTTCTAATGAGCATTTGCTTGTTCTTGGGATAAGTCAGTAGTACTCTTGTGTTCTTCCCCAACCCTGTGATTCGGAGGTATCGATTCTTGTCTGGTGTTCCTTCTTCATTGACCAGTGTTCAAATGTATATGAGTTGATGACAGATACCATGGCTTGGGTCAGGTACACCTCAAAGTGACGTACGTGTCCTTTCGAAACACCATTAATAGGTCTTGTGCAGTTGCTTTGCCCAGCACAATACCCCATTGGGTTTCTGCACTGCTACAATCTGCAAAGTTTCTATTCAAAATGTCCTCGGGAGAAGCATATAACTCGTAAATGCTAGTTGATGAATTTTCACAAAGTGAGCACACACTGATAGGGCTGCTCCAAGTTCAAAAACACCCGAGCAGCTCCGACTCGAATCACTGTGCTGGCTTCAAACACCTTGGCTTCCCTGTTCCTGTTTTTAAACTTACGTTAGTGGAATTGTCCGCTTGTGCATCCGACTTCCTTTCCTCAGTGTTGTTTTTGGAAACGTCACAGAATGGTGGGTTATAATATTCTTTCTGCCTACACGGGTAGCAGGGCTCCCTTGACTAAAACAGTGCCCTCCTATCTTTTAGCCTTCTGACGAAGATACTGTGAGCCTGAATGTACCAATGTCGGACATCATGGAAGAAGACCAGGTCATCAACGAGGACGCCTGCCAGCACCGGAGCCCAGCGCAAGGTCTGGAAATAAGAGACGGGGGAAGTGCTTGTTGCTACATGCCAGATGTTACGTGTTAAATATGCGCAGGTGTGGCAGTGGGCGGAGCATCCTTGCCAGGCACAGCCACTGAGCTGATTTGGGAGCGCGAGCTCATTGATCGGTGGAAACGCTGAGGTGGATGCTCTCTGGCCATTTGATAGGTGAAGAAAGCAGATCTCAGGGAATGTAAGTGACCGGCCAGGTCACCCATCTGGGAAGTAGCAGAGTTCTTCTCGTGAAGGTTTGCGCCAGATTCTTTAAATCCACACCGAAAGAAATACCGATACAGTTGATACATTAATGAGGATAACTCTGGCTTGCCTTTCCAAATCTCATTGGCTGAAACCCATCCAAATTAGGTTCCAGTTGGAGAAACGGATTGGCAGGCTTCTCTCCTCCAAGTGGGGGTGCAAAGACTCAGGCACCTTCCTCCTCCTTTTTTTTTAAAATCATTTTATTAGGGGCTCATACAGCTCTTACCACCATCCATCCATCCATCCATCCATCCATCCATCCATCCATCCATCCATCCATCCATTGTGTCAAGCACATTTGTACATTCCTTGC